TACTGTGTGGTGTGTTCCTCCAGAAAATGAGCGTGTACGCTTTTCACGCGATTATCACATTTAGTAGCTTGCGCTTGTCATTGTTCTATGTGGAAAACACGCAACTGCGCCATTCCTGCTATAATATATCATGGCCATTGCTCTACACACTATTATCACTCAAAATCTTCTACTGATAAGCTTTTAAAAGGAGCAAAACAGCTGTGCAGAAGCGTACTGAATCAGCTGCCAACGGAAGTGTGCTTGCAGTGCTACTGTGTATTGTGCTTCGTGCATTGGTTCGGCAAAGAGCGCACGGCAATGACGGGTGGAGGATGTATTAAAGTGGAGTATTGCCGAAAGCTATATCCCGGTATCTTAGGGGCGGCCCGGTCACACGTGCATTGGGGTTTCGCTTCGGCGACACGGTTCTGCAGCAGCGAGCCTGGTGTCGCTCCAGCGGAACCACTTGTGTATGGTCACACATACAAACAGGGCAAACTCCTACTTTGGCAGAAAATGAGAGTAAAGTGGACTGTGGTGCATACGGTACGGAGAATAGACGAGGTCAATGACTACAGTCCATTTCAAAACTACAGACGCGTACCTAGGCAAAAACCGTTATGCCAGCATCTATACCACGTAAAATCTGTGATCACTTTGTGCATAAATTTTTCCAAATTGGGCGTCAATTTGATATCGGCTCGAATGGCATATCTCTCGCTTCCATACGATAAGCCAAACTTGCCAAATCGCCAATTGTATGCTCACGTTGCCATAGCGACCAGCAGAGTGATGACGTACGAAAGGCTTAGCTCCTCCACAGAGAAGGTCGATCACTGCAGAAATTGGTCATTTTCAATTGTCTTATTGTATTCACGATGTGAAAGAAGTGCTGTGTTCAATGCTGTTAGTGCCGTGAACTATTTGTCGCCCTTCTCATGCATTTCCCTAGGCTGACTGTGCCTAGGAAATGGTTTCCTCCAGGAAAAGATGCTTGGAATTCGCCGTCTCTCCTGAGACATTTTCAGCAAACTTTCAAACCTACGACATTATTTCATTCGTCAATCTCCACCACCCGCCGTCTCACCTGGCTTCAGAAGATGTTACGAGAGATAGGAGAGTGGCCAGGAAGCATCACATTCATCTTCAGGAAGTGGAAAGAGCAAACGGCATGGTCCTTGGTTGGGGGAAATGCTGAACGTCTGATTTGTCCCAACCAAGATCTCAGCATTTTGTTCGTCACTATTTTCGCTTGTCTGCTGGTGTCTCCGCGCTCCAGCTTTCTCCTGTCGGTGTCACGTCCCAGTACACAACCGAGAGGACTACTAACAAACAGTTCACTGCACTTACAGCATTGAACACAGCCCTTCTTTCACTTCGTGAATACAATAAACCAATTGAAAATGACCAAATTCTGCAGTGATCGACCTTCTCTGTGGTGGAGCTAAGCCTTTCGTACGTCATCACTGCGCTGGTCGCTATGGCAACGTGAGTATACAATTGGCGATTTGGCAAGTTTGGCTTATCGTATGGAAGCGAGAGATATGCCATTCGAACCGATATCAAATTGTCATTCTTCTGGACCATACTCGAAAAATCGATGCACTTCCCCTTTAAAGGGGAAGTATACCCTAAAATCAAATTTTCACCAGTTGTAGTCTTCTGGGTGCTGAGTCGAATGGTCTTGGTCCGAGAAAGCTGCGACGCTCCCTTCCTACTTGAATCCCAATCGAACTCGCGCACTTCCACCGAAACTGGGTGACTGCGCCCTACTAGATGGGGATTTGTATGCAAAATGTCACTAAAAGCGCCATTTCGTTCTTATAAAAGCACGGATGACCGCGATTGGCCCATATGTTGTAGTCTTTTGGACGCTGAGTCGACTGGTTTTGGTCCGAAAAGGCTGCGATGCAGCGTTCCTCCTTTATTCCCAATCGAACATGGTTGAACAAGTGGTCACGTGCTCCTGCGTACACCAGTCACCTGGTCACCGTGCCTGCAGGGTACAACTTACTAGCCTGTTTGACCTTTTTTGGGTGCAGTCCTGTCACTCGAGTTGAACTCGAGTTGAACCTTGGTGTGAAAGTTGTCGCCTGCTGGCGCGGTGACCAGGTGATTTGGGCACCCAGGAGCACGTGACCGCTTGTTCAACCATGTTCGATTGGGAATAAAGGAGGAACGCTGCATCGCAGCCTTTTCGGACCAAAACCAGTCGACTCAGCGTCCAAAAGACTACAACATATGGGCCAATCGCGGTCATCCGTGCTTTTATAAGAACGAAATGGCGCTTTTAGTGACATTTTGCATACAAATCCCCATCTAGTAGGGCGCAGTCACCCAGTTTCGGTGGAAGTGTGCGAGTTCGATTGGGATTCAAGTAGGAAGGGAGCGTCTCAGCTTCCTCGGACCACGACCATTCGACTCAGCACTCCGAAGACTACAACTGGTGAAATTTTGATTTTTGCCTTACTTCCCCTTTAAGCACTTCGTCATGTACCGTAAAGTCGCGGATACAAGCCGGGCTTATCAGCACACAAGCCGCTTTCTGCATCAGGCTTTAATGCAAACCAGGCTTGTATGCAAACCATGCTTATATGCACCACTGATATTTTTTGCCAGGCTTGTATGCACGCTTCTACGCGCGACACTCGTAGATCTACCACTGACTACCGGTATGGCGGCAGTTTTACTATGCACCGTACATAGCGCATGCACTCTTGACCTACCCGATCCGCGCTTGCATAGCAGCCAGGCTTCTACGCGCGACAGGCTTATATGCATTTGACCCGTTTGATTTCAGGCTTCTATCCGCGATGTGCTTGGATGCAAACCCGGCTTTTATCCACCACTGTACGGTATAATGGTTTTTATAGTATGTCACTACATCGTCCAGATCTGCCAACGCAACAGTGTTGGTTTCCGCTCACGATTCAGACCAACCTGTCCGCCTGTGGACGGGAACAACTGCGGAAGTCCTCACTGATACCGGATTACACAACAAAACTGGCAGCCACGAGTGTGATACAAGCAGGTCTAGGAGCAGCTGCTGACAAACGAGAGGCTACCTGGCCCATTTACTCCAGTCAGGGCTGCTTGGTCCACGTTTTACATCATCGGTGAAGTTTCGGTGTAGGGTCTGTGGCAGCGCAGAGTGGACAAGACCAGTCGGTGAAGAAGGAAGGAGAGAAGCAGGACCAGTCGGTGAAGAAGGAAGGAGAGAAGCAGGACCCTTTTGCCACATCTACAGGATTGATCAAACTGAGCTGCCGGTGCGAAACGTCGACCAAGCAGGCCTGACTGGAGTGACTGCGCCAGGTAGCCTCTTGTTTGTCAGCAGCTGCTCCTAGACTACAGCTTGTATCACACTCGCTGCTACCGGTTCTGCGGTGTACATCGGCATCAGCGAGAACTTCCGCTGTTGCTCCCGTCCACGGGGGGGGGGGGGGGTTGTCCAGTCTGAATCCTTAGAGGCAACTGAGCCTGTCGTGTTGGCAGATCTTGGCGGCGAGTCTCGCCTCGCCTGCACACAACAAACAATACAGCATCATCATAATGTCGTGGACATGGAAATCCAGTCCGAGGTCAAGCGGCTCCAGTGCGCTGGCCATCCATGCGTTCGCATGCGATCAACATGTGCACCGTGCATGCAACGTTATGTTTGCACTGACGGCGGCGGCCACGGTCATTCGACTGGATTTCCATGTCCACGACAGTACTTTCCAGTGGCATCATTACTCTCACTTTCTTGCAATTAGTCGTAGTGGCATTTCAGCGTAAGGTTTACGTCGCTTGTACTGTGTGGTGTGTTCCTCCAGAAAATGAGCGTGTACGCTTTTCACGCGATTATCACATTTAGTAGCTTGCGCTTGTCATTGTTCTATGTGGAAAACACGCAACTGCGCCATTCCTGCTATAATATATCATGGCCATTGCTCTACACACTATTATCACTCAAAATCTTCTACTGATAAGCTTTTAAAAGGAGCAAAACAGCTGTGCAGAAGCGTACTGAATCAGCTGCCAACGGAAGTGTGCTTGCAGTGCTACTGTGTATTGTGCTTCGTGCATTGGTTCGGCAAAGAGCGCACGGCAATGACGGGTGGAGGATGTATTAAAGTGGAGTATTGCCGAAAGCTATATCCCGGTATCTTAGGGGCGGCCCGGTCACACGTGCATTGGGGTTTCGCTTCGGCGACACGGTTCTGCAGCAGCGAGCCTGGTGTCGCTCCAGCGGAACCACTTGTGTATGGTCACACATACAAACAGGGCAAACTCCTACTTTGGCAGAAAATGAGAGTAAAGTGGACTGTGGTGCATACGGTACGGAGAATAGACGAGGTCAATGACTACAGTCCATTTCAAAACTACAGACGCGTACCTAGGCAAAAACCGTTATGCCAGCATCTATACCACGTAAAATCTGTGATCACTTTGTGCATAAATTTTTCCAAATTGGGCGTCTGTTATCCAATCCTTTAGAAATTATATGAGAGTAATTGTGGAGCGATCCTGAGCAATATTCCGAAAACTATTCTCAAAAAGTTCCAGCCAAATTTGAAATATTTCAAAAACCCTACGCGTCTATAGTTTTGAAATGCACTGTACCTTGCACACATTTTTGTTGCATGGACATCATACGCATACAAATTTCTCGTAGCAAGTCCATATACAGCAGACCGCGGTGTTTTCCGCTGAAGCGAAACCTCAGGAGCGACAGTCTCGCTTCGAAAAATTTTGGAGGAAGCGGATTGGAGTTTCCGCTGAAGCGGAAGTTCCGCTTTTCGCCGTTGCCATGCCATTTTTCGCTCCTGCGACCTCGCTTCAGCGTATACGCTACTTTCGACTGCATGTGTGACCGGGCCCTTATTGCAGTATACTGCGTCACTAGCATTATTATTTTCATAACCAATTTTATAGGTATGCAAACAGATTGAAAAAATTCCAAAACATTCCAAATGACATGAAACGATATGCTAAAGTGAAAACAATATACTTTTGTGAAAGAAAAGATCACTCACGATATCCAATTTATTTAATGATCCGTAGACTTCTTTTACAAAGGCAAGCTGGTAAAGAAACAGCACAGTTACACAGAGCATAGAAGAAGGATCGATGAGCCACTCAGTCATGTGCACTTTGTGGTAATGTGATCAGTCATGTGCGACCTCAGTTCCGCAATGACGGACCGCAAACACATGCACACACACACACACACACACACACACACACACACACACACACACACACATGCATGCACGTACGCACGCACGCACGCACACACACACAAACAAACAAACACACAAACAAATGCACACAAATACACACACACATACTTGTCAACACTTTGTGATCTGTTTCTAGAAAATCGCGTACTGATGCATGGATGACTACAACTTTCTCACACACACTCCATATTGCTCTGCACGACCTTACAGTGTCTTGCAAACAACCAACTAGCTACACATCGCTAGCTGATGCACAACAGATAACAGAGTAGAGAGGTACCATCTTGATGAGCAGACATCACACCTTATTTATTTATTTATTCAACATCTTATGGCTTCCGATGGCAGCCAAAACGGGAAGATGTGGATGATAGCCAACCATGGTAAAAGAAGGAGAAGATTATATACATGAAAAGGAAACAGCCGAAAAGCTACATTGATTAGTTTTTACTTGCAAGTATTACCTTACACGCGTAGATGGTGCCTTAACTACATCCTGTGTACGATCACTGCATCCCTCCTCCTCTTCAGAATGCAGACTATCAAATCATGACTATGTTGAAAAATATATTATATCGCCTAGGAAGCGAATCATGCTAAATAGAGAAAACCAGACCGGCAGATGCGCAGTGCGTTTCTCCGATCCAAAGTGTAAGGAAACGCAGTGACGTGTATGTAAGGAGTGACTGATAATAGAATAAAGTTCTCATTCTATCAGTCAGAATCACAGATGACAGGCTAGTTCATGGACGGCGGTCCATTTGCAGACTCTTCCGCTGCAGCATCTGTTGAGGCTAGCATTTCCTCCGGCCACTCCACTTTCTTCAGGAACTGGGCCTTCCGGCGAAGGACTACTCCTTCATGAGCACTCAATCACCCGGCCGGATCGCTTGCGTACGGGTGGTTGCCATTGCGTGCTCGAATACTCTGCCAGTGTGTGCTTTGCATTGGCGTCCCTGTCTGTCTGTCTCTCTCTCAACTGACATTCATCACTGTTATTATTCATGGTCAATCAAATGATTGATGATTTCGCTTTTCCTGAGTGGCTACATCGCTAACCATTTCAAATGCTGGAAGCTTGGCTTAAAGAGGAGCAATGCAGATGGGCAACCAGCAACTGACTGTGGCGTTGTGCGATGAGCAAACAAGAAGCAGCAGAGTTCAGCCTTCAATGGCTTACCTTCCAACTGCGCGATGTGAAGAGTGTTCATGATGGATCTGTTCTCTCTCTCTCCACCTTGCCATATGCCATTGGCCAGTAGATCCTTGTCGATGTTGGGCCCCATATCTTCATTCGTAACTGGTGTTTTCCTTGCGGATACCTTGGTGCCCTTTGTGTGCTAGCGCCAGTACCTGACTCGTCAGCAACGCTGGAATCACTATACGAGTTCCTCTGATCACAAACGAAACCTACGCTGGTGAACTCATAGCAGGCAGCGGCATATGCGGTTTGTGCCTCACTCCAGTCATCAGATAGGAGGCACGAGCAAAGCAGTTGCAGCTCAGCATCCATCGCAGATGCTCTATGTCGCGGACTGTTGTTCAGGCAACTGGCGACGCGAATTGTGTGATGCTCTTGATCGATTTTCAGAGCTTATCTGCGTCTGGCATTGGTGCTGGACCATTTGGTAGCCGCGGCAGGGCTCCAGCGATGTTTTGCCGGCCAGGAACGTACTCAATTTTGAACTGTAACTCCTGGAGTCTGAGCACCCATGACTCCATATGTGCCGACGGTCGTGATTTTGGGGAGTAGATAGCCTTTACGGACTGAGGATCTGCCACCAGCGTGAACAGTGGGGCCAGGAGGTCCTATCTGAACCTGTCGCAGGGCTAGACTAGGGCTAGAGCTCTCCGTTCACCTGTCTGGCTGTAGCGTCGTTCAGCTGGGTTAAGAATGCGGCTAGCATGGCTGATGGTGCGGCGAATATCGTCTTGCGTCTACACTTGTGTGCTGATCTGTTTCCCTCCAACCAATAATCTTACAACGCATGAGCGTGTATGAAAAAAGGGGCTGATTTTGAGCGAATTGGGAAGTCATGTTTGCGGGCGTATAGGCACGTGCTTGTAGGATGGGTGAGCGACGGATCGTAGAACAGCTAATTCCTATGGATGCAGAGACACGTACTCATGCACTTTTATATTTGCTTGTCCAGTCAACGCGGGCATGGAGCTGATGCGAGCGTGTGGCCAAGGTTGCGCATACTAGTTGGCGGCGGCTAGTCGAGCTCGACGACGTGTACTATACGGCTCCAGTAACGGAACTGCCTACCTCAAACCGGCAACGCAACGGCTGCAGAATGTTGGAGTCTGCCTTGTTCATCCAGTCCTGCCAATGTATCATGAAAGTAATGTCTTTTTCCTGAACTTTCTAACCTTTTCCCATCTGTACATGTGAAAATGGTTTACCGGTGCCCATGTCGTGTAGCTTTCTACTACTTGGTTCTCGGCTGTAGTCTATAAGTAGAATTGTACTCTCATGTATACTCTGGGCGTGTTATGTCGCTTTGCCACCCTGTGCTGTCATCTGTTATGATAGCTGTGTTCATCCAATTCGAGTTTTATTGTTGAAGTTGACATTTCATGTGTTTTTAGGACTGTCTTATTAAATTGTATTCCTTTTGCCGCCTATTCTGCTGTTGCACGTGTGTGTTCCCCTCATTGGCCTCACTCGTTCCTCATTTTTTTAGTTCATTTGGCTTATGCGAAGACTAGCCAAGCTTGCTTGGTGATGTCAATGCGAACAAGCAAATAATAAAGATAATAAAAATAATGCAAGGAAAAAATTGGACGCGTATCCAATTTCGAAAGAAAAGGTGACAGCACCGACGCAATCCACACAGTCAAGTAAGCCAATTTCGTAACCGAACATTTTCGTTCCTTTCTCATCATGGGTAAATACAGGGAATAATGGAAAAATGTCAAATACAGCAACTTATAGAGCAAAAGCATAGAGAACTCACGCTATACGTGTTGAAAAAATAGAATTCAGCTGAACAAGTCAACAACAGGTTGAAGGTGAAGATATGACTAAAACATAATGAAAACATCAATGAGAAGAAGCATGTTGACTGTTTGTTCAGCTGAATTCTATTTTTTCCACACGTATAGCGTGAGTTCTCAATCTATGCTTTTGCTCTATAAGTTGCTGTATTTGACATTTTTCCATTATTCCCTGTATTTACCCATGATGAGAAGGGAACGAAAACGTTCGGTTACCAGATTGCCGTACTTGACTGTGTGGATTGCGTCGGTGCTGTCACCTTGTCTTTCAAAATAATAATAATAATGATAATTATGAACTTAGAAGTTGCGACTTCGGCGGTAATGTCATGAAGTTGGTTGCTCCAACGAGGAGCACACGCTTCTTGCCGAACTTGACTTTAGCACAACTCCATGAGCGACTCTGACTCACGCTGCTACCTGGGGCTTCACGAGGTGTTTGTCGCGCTGGAAACAAAGCGTCTCTGTAAGTTTGTATCCCTGGTGATGGTTTGGCCTGGAGAGCAGTATATAAGTGGTGCTTTTCAGGCACAATCTTCCTCAGCCTACTCAAGCTCAACTGATGAGGGGTGAATTCCCCGAAACACTGTGTATTGAGCAGGGAGTGGTGCTTTCTTTCAGGTTTGCCGAGCGGAAGGTGCGACGTGCTCCTGGTGTGCTCCGGATGGCAGTCGTGAGTCAGTCAAGTGTCAAGTTCGGCAAGAAGCGTGTGCTCCTCGTTGGAGCAACCAACTTAATGATAATTATTATTATTAAAAAGCTTACATGGAGATAAAATGTAATTAATGTAATAAATAGAGTAAGCTGCGCACTCAGTACAAACACCACTAGCAAAACTTGTTTCAACGTAAAAAAGCTTGTTCCTTGAATGTTTTCGTGGCCATCTCATCAGAAGGATTACTACTAATAATTAATATTAATAATTGAGCCTCTAGATCTAAAACAGGGGCTTATGTCGTGTCGCGCAGCACTGAGAAAACTGCATTTGAAAGTTGAGTTTTCCGCATAAAGCGATGTATAATTCACTTATTGAAACACCCATAACGCTGTGAAAGACGAAGAGTTTGGACCTAGGTGTTTTACACAGTGATCTGCTGGCGTACAGCAATGCCATGGTAAAGATAACTCAAAATGTTCACAAAATGACATAAGCCCCCTTTTTTTTATTTGGAGGCTCAATTGATAATAATTTTAACTCGGATGGTGACCTAATTAAATTATGGTGAAAAAGAGAAGGCCAAAATGTTACGAGTTATGACTAACTGTCCACCAACGTAACCAGATCTTATCCCGTTAGCGAGTGCGACAAAATGGCACAAAACTGACAAAGGAGTACTGAGTCTCTTGGACCTTTCCGAACCTGAGCCTTACGAGTTGGAAGGTCGTTGGTTTGCGCCTTGGAGAAGTGTTGAAGCTACGTGTCAGGTCGCCGAATGTCTCAGTACTCCTTTGTCAGTTTTGTGCCATTTTGTCGCACTCGCTGACTGTATAAGATCTGGTTACGTTGGTGAACAGTTTGTCATAACTCGTAACATTTTGTCCTTCTCTTTTTTTTATCATAATTAAATTGGCTCACCATCCGAGGTCAATAATAGGTCTGTATGGCCAATCCCAATCATTTCCTGATAATTGTGATAATGTCAATGTCATAGTGTCAAATGACAAAATTTATGAATTATGTAACAAACTGCGAAATGATAACTGAAGTTCAGTGGTTATTCAATTGAAACAAATATGTTCGTGCCTATTTGCGAATGCGGGGAAATATGCACAACAAAGAACATGGGCTATTTGGCGCAAACATTTGGTACAGTAAAAGCTGGTGTAAGCGACCTCTCGTTTTAGCGACCACCTGCTCTTAACGACCGCTTTTCCATGCACGGACAGTTCTACACAGACACTGTGGGAACTGGCTCTAAAGACCACCTGGCTTTAACGACCGCTTTTCCTTGCACAGTGGGGTGGTCGCTTTAAACCAGGTTTTTACTGTAACTGGCAAATGACAACAGTTCTACATCATCAGGTAACAATACAAGTAAACAGGAATTCAGATCAGGCAAAAGAGCAGCTATACATAGCATGCTGCAATAAAGAGTAGCTTTGTGACAATGTGTTGTGTGTGCTTCAACGTGCTGTGTATCTTGCTGAAAGTGGGTGTTAGCACTGAACAAAGATGATAATAGACACCCTTAGCAAAAAAACGTTACTTTATAACAGTATTACCGCCAGGGAAAAAAACAAGATTTGGGTTCGAACTTTAGCAAGATGCACGCCATTTTTAGTATGCTGTTGCCATGAGAATAGCAAATATTTTTACGCGATGCAACCATTTCTGGGTCCATATATGAGACATGGGCTGAGTAAACCTATTATATAAGGACTTTTTGGGTCAATTTTTTGATCTACTATGACTAGACGCTTCTGCAGCCGAAGTGTGGGACTGTGGGGTCCATATGACAAAATAGAAAAAATTAGGTCCAAATCAATACTTGAAGTATAGCACATACAAATTCAGCATTTCAGGAAATGTATGTCACCGTTGCTGTTCTGAGAATCGGCTGGTGGAGTTGACAGGCCATTCTAGGAAGTCAATCACATGAACCACGCCCAAGAGAGATCGTGACCAGGTTCAGTTGAGAGAACAGGAGAGATTTCTTTTTTCCAGGTAGGTTCATGACGCGGATATGGGGAAGATACGTCTTCCACGCCTGCCGAAATGAACGATAACCGACTTCACGCACACCACTTTCTTCTAGAACTTCATTGCATTGTTTGTACAACATGACCTTGTTGTGGCTTGCTGGTATGTATACAGATGGTTGATGCGGGTGACTGTGAGGTCCAGCTGGTTTTGGCATGCAGTGCACACTTGCATACACCTCCACAAAACGAACAATTTTTTTGCACAATTTCCTATGTTAGTGCATGCCATGGTGTGCGCTCTAGCTCGTTGCCTTGGTGTGCAGGCAGCTCCGCAACTCCTTCCTCGGCCAGGTGCTGGAGGGACACTAGTGTATGATGCGATAAACTGTTTACGTTGACCTATTAGCAAAACGTCCTTGCGCTCGTCAGCACTACTTTTGGCAAAATGCTGCGAGCTAACTGGGCCAACACGTATTTTTTTTCAGACTAGCCTTGTCCAGATGCTTGATCGCTGCCGCTCTCTTCGAATTCAGAGAATTACTCATCGTCGCCACTGCTGTGGACGGCGATGGCTGCTGCTGTCGATGCCTGGCGGGAGCGTTTTGCCGGTGGATTGTCGTCGTCGTCGGAGCTTGAGTCGGAGCTGTCGACACCTGCCGCTTCTGCTCAGGATCGACTGAAGAAGTCCTCGTCCAGATCCTGCAGCTCCGTGAAGCTGGCGTCGTCCAGACCGACTGCATCGATACTAATCACTGACTGCTCATGATTGATGTTCTCCTGCCCTCTTCAAACTAATCGCCGCCACTTGAACAAGGTGAGAGCAAAGGTGACAAGAACTTTTTCTGCCATCTCGATCGACTGCACGCGAGCTCAAAATCGAATCGAATTTTCAAAACTCTTTTTGTTTTTCGCTCATTCCGACATTATATCAAAATTCGCTCTTAGTGCGGTTTACTCAGCCGACTACTCATATACCCGATAGACGGTGAAATGGATACGCACTACGCAACACATGGGCAAAAAGCGTACCATTTGTCACAATGATAAATCAGCCCCCCATAACGGTTTTACGCTGCAGCTTCAACGCTATGTGCATGGGCGATCAAGGTACCAGCACCGTAAAAAAATAGCGTTACCGTTATTTGCGAAGGGTGTTTGATGTGAAGAAGAGGTTGGTGAGACTTTTTCGATACTTGGGGAATCGGCCTGTGAAGGTTATCACCTCTTGTAATTTGTCATCTTTTTTGCATTGTTTTTGCTTAGAAATGCCACTTCCAACATTTGTACAGATATGTGGTGTACCGCATTTTTTGCCCATTTACGGTGCTGTCATTGATCTAAAAGTTCTTGAGACTGGTTATCAGTAGTTGTGGATCAATTTGGAGCACAAAAATATTTTTTGAAAATGTTTCACATGTGATGGTTTTTGCTGATGCAGGCTCAGATAGTTTTGTCCATGCAGGACCAAGGTCAAACACATTGATAGAAAGCCACTACCTAATAGTTTAAGGATGGCAATAAACAGAATCAGCTGAAGCGTCATTTCACTAAGGTTTTATCGAGAATAATCGAGATGTCACGAACAAATTCTAAAGAAAGTGGTGCTGGACAAAGAAATAACTTCTGTTTATTGCCATCGCTAAATTTTTGTCACCTCGCTGCCGTTCCAAACTACCTGATAGGTCTGTATATCTGTAGAAATATACGATTTCTTGCACCTAAGGAACAGCCGTGTTGCAGGGTTTCCAATTATCTAATATCGAGTTGAAGCTGTCGATAATTTGTGTTGTGTTAAGGATAACCCATTCAGAATAATTACGAACCATTGCTTCTTGTACCTACGAGTATAATTGCAAGTCTTGTCGCAAGACAAGTCTCGTTATAAAATAAATTTTCTGATGACGAGATTAGCTACTAATAAGGGAGGACCTGAAACACGAAACTGTATGACAAAGTGAATCCATCAAACTGTTGTCAATGAAAAGATCACTCACGAGGATTCTCAGGTGGGGTCCAGCATATTGCTACATGAGAAACAGCACAGTTATACATAGCGGAGAAAAAAGATGGAAGAAACATTTAGTCATGTGCTCATTGTGGTTACATGATCAGTCGGTTACGCAATGACAGTCCCCAAATACACACACACACAGGTACGCACACAAACACAAACACACACACACACACACACACACACACACACACACACACACACACATACACGCGCGCGTGCATGCGCATACATGTACACATGCACAGATGTGTGCGCGCTTAAATACACGCACACTTGCACGCACAAACAGGCGTTCACACATGCACACACATTCGAGAACACCTCAGAGCCATCTCTATGCGTTTTTTTTAAATCAAACTGATAGAAATGGATAGACTCGGATGGAGAGCCAATGTTTAGACCAAGAACTTACAAGATATTCTATAATATCCACAAACATCGCCAGTTACTTGACAATCAGCTCATGCGATAACATTGCACAAACCTGACCGACAGTAATGACGTTCTACAACTAACTGGCTATCAGCTCTAGCACATCTTGCTCACCTTCCCCTCCTATGTTTTCATATAACGTATAATGTTCCAAGTTGGAAGGCTGTTGGAGTGCGCACCCAAGATGTGCTAGAGCTCATGGCAGTCTTATCTCAGGTTAATATCAAACCCATGCCACCACTTCTCGCACATATTCGGGAATCTAGTGGACTTTCGTATAAAAAAATTAAAAATTATAAAAATTAAAAAACCCATCCCCTCCCCATTATCTCTGTAGGGCTGTGCACAAGTGTGTCTTCCGGTGAAAATCATATTTTAATGGTTAGCCCACAACAAGCTGCGTACACCCACTGTCAACTATACTGCACTCTTGTTTCATTTGACAAAATCGCAGAATTCATTCAAACCAGATTTCTTTATACCGAAGTTGGTGGCTAAGACTCTGGAATTCACGCTTTTTCCACCAACCTGACTTGGCCTTTAAAATTATTGCCGAGGTCCCTATCACTATTTTGTCTGTCTGTCGGTCTGTCCGTCAGTTTGTCGGTCTGTCCGTCAGTTTGTCAGTCCATCAGTCCGGAAATCCGTCAGTCCGTCAGTCCGTCTATCCGTCAGTCTCCATCTCCCCCTTCTCGCTCTCGCTCGCTCTCTCTCTCTCTCTCTCTCTCTCTCTCTGTGTCTTTCTTTCTTTCTCTCTCTCATTCTCTCTCTCTCTCTCATGCCTTCGCTCTCTCGTTTTCTCTCTGGTCTTTGTCTCGTCCCCTGTCATGTCAAGGATTTGCTGCTATAGCCCCTTGCTGTACCGATGTCTACATTAGCACAGCTAGCTGGGCTTATGATAAGTCATGTGTCATGGTTGAGCTAGTCCTGGCCCTTTTCACTCCTGTTTGTTTGTTTTTTGTTTTGTTTTTTTGAAGTTTTATTTTTACATCGCAAACCAAACTGTCATGTGATAAAGTACCAACTCCACCCAGGTACGGATAAAGAAAAATACGCTCAGTGCTCTTTGCTTCAATTGTTCACAATTATCATCCTTTTTCTGAACTGGCTGAGCTGTAAAACGGAAACTATTTTCGTCCTTATCCTTGTCCACTATGTCCCTCTACTCATTATTCTTTTCAGCAAGCGAAACAAAAGGGAAATACATGTATGTTTCCTTATTTTCGTCCTCAATCTCACCTACACTGTAAAAGCAAGTTTTTTTCCTTTCTTTTTTTGCCTATCCCCGCTCCCGTATTCGTTTCCTCTTTTGACTCCTTGGCAAATTATGAATTATGTAACAAACTGCCAAATGCTTACTGAAATTGAGTGGTTATTCAAACCTAAGCAAACATGCGTGTTCCCATTTGAGAATATGGGGCAATATTAGGAACAAATCGCACGTGCTTTTAAGTCCCACTGCTTTTGGGCGCAAAAATACGGGGGCTGAAAATGACACCTTCTCCATTTTCACGTAACAATGTGATGTTTGCCGAAGAGGTAAAGATTGCGAGTTTCCTTGATAATAATACTATGTCACTATCATTATCCCATAGTCAATTTTTATAAGGCACTGTATTTGCCGGTGTACAAGGTGCACCTGAGCATAATGCGCACCTCCATTTTTGACCAACGCTTTGGCAATTCAACGTATATCTGGAGAATAAGCACTCAGCCTATACTTGAGTAAATCATGGAGTTTAGAGGCATTATTATATGAGCCCGGATCAGCGAAAACCATCGCTTGTGTTTGATATCAAGTTGATCAAAAAGTGACGTTGAAGTCGAGCAAAAGAAAAGTCGCGGACCTAACAACTACCCATCACCTTTCCGTCTTTTTTGTCACTAGTCTTTCTTTCCGCCTGACAAGCCCGTGTTTGTTTGTTTGTCAGTGACTAGCTAGCTAGGCAAGCCCCAGGCAAGTCAGGAGACACGGCTAGGAAACCCCACGTACCTGAGCTTAGCTGGCGAATAGGTACGATCGCGCACGCATCGCACACGCATCGATCGTCGTTGACGCCAATCACGACACGACATTTTTTGGTGATGACTGGAATGGCGATTGCTCATCAAGAGAGTCAGGTGAAAGCCGACGGAGCTCCAGAGGACCACTCTCTCCTGCTGCAAAGCGACTCGGCGAGGCTGCAGACTTCGTGTAGAAGAAAGCAGCGCTGATGAGAATGACGACGATTCGAGTGGATATTGTTGAACGATGAACGACTCCTTCACTAGTAAGTTTGTCGGATATCGACAGTGACGATGCAGAGCAAAGGCGTCTCGATTCACGACTGGAAGAGCAACGAGAGCTAGCGCCAGACAAGATCTGCTTCGTTGGCTGGGACGCTGAGCAACTTGAAACATTTATTGGGTCCATGCAGCAGCTCCCAAAAAATTCAAAAAATATGTTCCTGTAGGGTCAGGTAACCGTTATGTATCTGCACCTAGTAGATCTACGTACCTCATGCTCATGAGCCTGTGTGCTGAGCAGTCACAGCTACTGTGATTGCACTCCGTGTGTGCAGATATGTTTTCATGGAAGTGAAGGGCTTGGAGAGCATCAGTACAGAACCTGGTGTGGATGCAATATCCTGATATCAGCCCCTGGAACTTGGCCATATGCCGTTAGCTGCGCGATAGTCAGTGAAGCCAATGATTTACTTGGACAAGCCAGTGTCTGAGTACACCCCCAAGGACTATAAAATTCCTCCTTGTTAGCCGGCTGAGTGATGGCAATGCCTGACAGGATCAGACACATACCAACGCTCATACTTGCATCCAACACAGAAATGCCACTTCCAACATTCGCCATACAGCGATGTGGTGTACTGCATTTTTTGGTCACTTACGGTGCTGTGATTGATCTAAAATTTCTTGAGACTGGTTATCAGTGGTTGTGGATCAATTTGAAGCACAAAAATATTTTTGGAAAATTTTGCACATGTGATGGTTTTTGCTGATCCAGGCTCATATAGTACAGTCGAATGTCACTTATCCGGTCGCCAGTTATCCGAGCACGTCGGTTATCCGACAAGCCCGGGAGTGGTAATTGTATGACTCTCAACAGTAAAATTCTTTAAAAAATTTTTTTTTTAATATTATACGGTGTAATATGCATTTACTTGAAGTAGATGTGGTCAAGTATGCTAATATGTATGTGTACATGGAGCAATTCATGAATATGCATGAATATATTTGGGTATTGTGTACACAAATCAGTGAAATCCAGCCATATATGCACATTAAAAATGATATCAGTTATCCAACATATCCAGTTATCCAACATGCCTGTTTCCGATAAGTGACATTCGACTGTACCAACATTGACCAAGTTATCATACCACTATTAAACTGTGTACATTTGCATCCTATGGGGTGTTGTACAGTTTGTTTGTTTATTTTAGTTTACTTCGCCAAGTGAACAGGCATTTCTGCCTTCTCACCAGGTCCGAAGACCTAGTTCCGTTCATGCATTAACTCTTTGGTCAGTGACTGAGCGTGCACTGCGCAGCGCACCATATGCGCACATCGCGTCCATCCAAACTTGAACTGCTTTCAACTTCACCCCACTGCCTTCTCTACACATATCGATAGGCCAGCTACTAAGGGATCTCTGTGAACAAAATCAGGCAGATGAGATGTACGAGATCAGCTCTGCAATAGATTTTAGTATGCACTGTCAGCATAGGTCGAAATCGACTACGGGCACCAAAGGGTTAACAGTGTAGCTGGCAGACGACACCAACATGCGTGGATATTTGTTATGTATGACATCACGATATGTGTTATGTATGATTACGATACACCGGTATTGTGCATGCTGAGTTGAGATTGAGCAGGACATAACAATATTGTTTGCGCACGGTCAGAGACCCAGTTTGGCAAACGTTGAGACAGTTTGATACACATTGCATAAATACCCAAAGTGCATGCATTCTCATTTTTGGATCATAGTGCGCACCTGCGATTTGGGGCCTGAAATAGCGCATGAAAAGAGCGCAGCATACTCTGGTAAACACGGTACCTATACCAACACATTTGAAAGTTGTCAAAACATTCACATGGCCAGCAATCGAGGACATCTGAGAGTTGTAATTTTTGTACTCCTCCGAGGTGTGATTTTTGGCGTGCTGGGCCAAGCACAAGGAAACCATCTGCAAAAAAACTGCAGAAAATGGTTGTTGTTTGATCCTTTGGTGTAATCTTTGTTTCTAGTCGAAGCTAGTTGCTGTTTGGAGCAGAAACGCTGAAATTGACTATTTTCTGCATGTACTCATACATGTACTCATGTACTCAGTCATGCAGTCTCACTCGTATTTTAGCTCTTTTTCTGGAATGGATGCTGCTCTGCGCCCCTTGGTGAACATTTCCTGCGCTCGTGGAGCAGCTGAAAAGGACCACTGGTATGTCTGGTTCCTGGTTTGAAAGTGGAGAGTCGACTTTTGTGCCTTGAAAAAGGAGTAGAGAGCGATAAAGGTACGTCTGTGGCTTATTTTTGAGTGCTCCTCGTACATTTTTGATCGTGATAGAAATTCTCAGACCAAAGTCAGCGCGATGATGGCCGTACTGTTTTCTTGTGGATTTTTTAGTTGTTTCATCTCGTATCTATGTCAGTATCGTGATGGTGAAGTGGAGAGGGTGATTTTCTTCCTCTAGGCTTCGTTCGGCCGGCTTTGCTTCGTCCTCGTTGAAAAGTAATCCTGAAAAAAAGGTCGATTCGCAAAATTATGTTGATTTTGAATGTACGTGATGACATGCGATTGCTGGCTATGACAACAACGGTTTGATCAAGCGAATCCATTAAAACTGTTGTCAATGAAGAGGTCACTTACCTTCACTGCATTTACTCGGTGCTTGTGTTGTTGTGCGCTTCTTGCAAATAGTGGTGGTAGTTGGTGTAGTTCTTGTAGTTGTGGTGGCTGTTGATCTTGTTGTTCTAGTGGTGGTGGTTGATCCAGTTCTTCTAGTGGTGGTGGTTGATCCAGTTCTTCTAGTGGTGGTGGTTGATGTTGTTGTGGTGGTGATTGCCGGTTCTGATTCTGGTGCACAGTTATGCAGAAGGGAGAAGAAAGACCAAAGAAATACTCAGTCAGGTGAACATTTTGGTCACGTGATCAGTCATGTGTGAAGACAGCCAGTCGGTTTTAAAAACATTGACGGACACAACACAAACACCCGTGTACTTTGTGCCGACGTATACGCCTGTCGCAAGAAACGCACGCAAATCTGCAAATGCACTGGATGTGAACTCTCTTATAGCGGTGATAGCAGACAAGATCTGAATGAGACAGATCAAGACTAGCGCCAGATATCTGCCCAATCCGCACAACTTGCGAAGCCATGTGAATCGACCACCAATGCACACCTGGTCTACACCACACGGAGTACATCGGCATAGAACGGCCAAGACAGTTACCTATGCACACTCTACACTTGCTGGGGTAACCAATAGACAGCACGCTGCTTTGATAGAGGCAGACACTAGATGCACTGGTACCTTGAAGTGAAATTGGAGTTACTTTCCCAACCAGCCTCACACACACGCACGCGCACACATACACACACACGCACACACGCACATACACACACGCATGCACGCGCACACACACACACACACACACACGCACACGCGCGCGCACACACACACACACACACATACACACACACACACACATACCCACATACACACTTATCGGAAGCCAGCCCAGACCCTCTCTATGCTTGTTCTTGCCTAGGTCATCATGTATAATTATTCAAACTGATAGAAAAGGCTTTGACATACAGATATTATGGCATACACCAATGCCTATTTTGCCCTGCATTCTCATGTCAGTCATGTCTTAGGTCAACGCCAAAAAACCCATCCCCTCCCCCCCCCCCCCCCTTTATCTCTGCAGGACTGTGCACAAGTGTGTCCCAAGACGAAAAATATGTTTTAATAAGTAGCCAACAAATTTTGTGTACACTAGCTGTCCCCTATAACGCACTCTTGTTCCAGTTGACGCAATCACGTATAATTCATCCAAACCGCATCTCTGTGTGAGGAAGTTGGTGGCTCCCACACTGGAGCGCACACTTTTGCCGCCAACCTGACTTGCCACGTGACTGACTCACGACTCCTATTCTTACCACACGAGGATTCCATCGAGCTTTCCTTTAAAATATTATCGGCGAGGTCGCTACCACTATTTCATACGGATCTCTTTGGCAATCTCATTAATTTGGTGCCTTCGTGCTCAGTGCACAATGTGCAGTAATAATCACACACTGTGCAAAAAATGGAGTTGATTGCTGTTGTAGTTCAGTGCTTTTCAGTTGAGCACAGGATGCTATCTTTTTTCTGATGAGTGCCTTTTCAGATGAAACTCACACCCACCGTAAATCGACAGATTTTCGGCGCGCATAAATTTCGGCCTCCCGGGGCTAAAACACCTTAAGGCCGCATTGAAATTCCGGCCTGTACTGCTGCTGCCTGTATGCACTGTCACATTGAACCTTGCAAAGCAAAATTTCGACCGCAACAAATTTTCTGCCTAAAAAGCCCATTCCAAATATAGCAGAAAATAAGTATTGCCAGAATATTTGTCGACTTACAGTATCATAATCACAGATAACGAGTTCGGTTCTGTCCGTAGCAATGTATTTTAAATTCAGAGCTTTTCGGATTCATAAAAAAAGTGATCAGTTGGCGCTATTGCTAGCTGGTCCTGCCTATGAAAAGTCTACTAGAATATTGTGATTCTTGAGTTTCCAAATGGCTTTACTATCTTCATTCGATAAACCATCGTTTAGGTATTCCAAAACAACCCCACAACCAAACGTCTCCAAGTAGAATACTTATACCAACAGATCTGAAATTTGTCAGAGCATTCCGAGTAAAGGAGTCAATGTGTGTGACGACAAATACCACCCGAGTTGGCCAAATTTTCGATTTCGCTCAAAGCTTTGTCCTTTGTCCTGGGGTGGACCTTATTCACCGACTGTGACAGTTTGGTCCAGATACTCTTTGGATATTGGGCAAAATAATAATACATTGACTAAAATACGCACTGAAACAAGTACAAGAGCGAGGGATCACTGCTGCTCACAACAACACAGCGCAGCCAAACCAACTATAATTGCACACCGATCCAAGTTACTTTGTAATGCTTAGCCATCTAACTGTCGACAGGCAACATGCTGAGTCCCTGCAACGAATCGATCAATTCAGCCTGTCCAATGCCGGCCATTACAAGAAGCAATCTTCCAGTGGCAGTAGCAGCGAGGTTATGCCGTGAAATCTGGGCTGGATCACCACCATAGTTATGCTACATCATGGCTCCAAGCGCCCACAAGTGGTCTCGTATAAAGTTATCCTCTAAAAATCACTTGGGGAAATAATCAAATTTCGAACTCTCCAATGGCCATGCACTAGCCGAATCCAACCGCGTGCCAGGAGCGCACAAACGGAGCACCTCCATAATAATTATGCCTTGTCTCTCACTAACAGCACTGAGCCATCATGGAAATAATCCCCGTCCCTCGTAGAACATGGAATGAAGCTGTCACTTGCTAAACAACAGCCCAAAGTGGCGAGAAAGAAGAACTGGTCTACAACAGCAAATCAGCAAGGACTGCATCAGTAGCCCAATATGGCCCAGAAATGTCTCATGTGCACTGGGCAGCCAGTGCACACGAGTTTCACATGCGTGCCACGCTCCACCAAAAAATTCCTTTTAGGTTGCTGCGAGCCAACATACTTTGTGTGTATGCGCGTGGTTACATCACGCATTTTTCAGGCACCGGAGGGCCCCGCGGTCATGCCCCAAAGAGAACATAATTATTTTTTTCGATTCTTGATATTACCACTGCAGCAGCGCATACCTGAAATACTTGAGCGCACAACTGCTATGTCGTAATTTTCTATTTGTATGACGATACATCGATGCACATCCTGCAACGCTGCATGCTTCTGCATTCTATTTCCCATGTTGTGCTAACACATACGGACACAGCCTTCCACTTCTCCCCCTGCTTTCTGTTTTCTGAACTGAGACACTCTCTTCTGATTCAAATTCTTCTTGCTGATATGAGAGGAAAGCAAACATGCTCTGGGCGATACGAACTGTACCAACAGAGTTGAAATTGTATAAACATTCAAAACATCATGAAAGGATTGGGAGAGCTTTAAATTCCAAGGACCAGTCGGAGATGTGAAGTGCCTGAAAAGAGGAAAAATTCCAACCTCGTCAGGACTTGAAAAGAGGGAAAATTTCCACCCTCGGCAGGACTTGAAAAGAGGAAAAATTCCAACCTCGTCAGGACTTGAAAAGAGGAAAAAGTCTAACCTCGTCAGGACTTGAAAAGAGGTAGAATTCCAACCTCGTCAGGACTTGAAAAGAGGAAAAATTCCAACCTCGTCAGGACTTGAAAAGAGGAAAAATTCCAACCTGGTCAGGACTTGAACAGAGGAAAAATTCCAACCTCGTCAGGGCTTGAAAAGAGGAAAAATTCCTACCTGGTCAGGACTTGAATCCGTGACCCGGGTTTGAATCCTGGTGGGGTCGGCTTTTGTTTCTCTTTCAACCAGTTCACTTCACCGACTGATCATTTGAGTATCATTAAACAGTAGGTTTAGGTTTAAGTACCAATTCCAGTGTGCCACTGTCATTGAAAACATCACTCACATATGGTTGCTTGGCAGGAGGTTTGGAAGAAGCTTCCCTCGGATCAGATGAAGGGTGTCGTGACTTCTTGCCCTATGAGAGAAGAGACAGATATATATCACAGAGTTGCAGGTTTGCATTCTTAGGAAAATGGGCAGTGGACAAGAAGGGATCCTAGAGCATTCCGTGATTTTGGTGACCTTGTCAGATTTTTGTCAGTGTCAACCTATTCGGAGACGTGAACTATTTGTTTTTAACAAGGCTATATATGGATACAACCGGCAGCGCATCCACTGTTCTAAGACACCGCGCAAGGCAGGCCGAAAGGGTGCCAAGAACATATTCTTGTGACACAGGGAATAAAGGAAGGAAGGAGTCAGCTAATGAAGAGGGTGTGAAGCACTTAGGTGAAACGATGATATGTGTTTCAATCAGTCATATCTTCTGAAAATTGTAGTCAAGTTGCTGTCCTATGATCGGTGAAACCCGTGAAACTCAGAGTTACAGCAGAAACGCTTTTGATTCCTCTCAAGTGTGTGTTACGTAGTATTATGTGCTCGACTTGATGGTCTCTGCAAGAAGAGAGCAACTGGCGTGGTATACCCAGACAAATGAATGCCCTACGTAGATTCTAACTCACCGGATGGTCTTTGTCTGGATTCATGATTTCTGCTGTTGCTGTAGCTGTGTTAGCCTGGTGAATATATTGAATGTGAAAGGCACAAGGACAGACCGAGAGATTGTTAGCCAGATCAACTGACAGTCGTATCAATAGAGATTTACAAAACTGCGCCCCCCCCCCCCCTCCCGTCCCCTCCCCTCCCCCCTCCCCGTCCCCGTCCCTCACGACTACTCCTAGTTAGCCATCCATTACACAAACTAGTGAATGACTCCAAATCCACCCACCTATGCTCCTATACACCCCCCCCCCCCCCACCTAACTCATACCCCTACATAACCCCCCCGCTGACCACACTAATAGCTACTGATACCCCCCCCCCCGCCCATACCCATTGATAAATGCTAACACCCCCCCCCCCCCCCACCCTGACCACACTAATAGCTACTAATACCCCCCCCCCCCCCATCCATACCCATTGATAATGTTAACACCCCACCCCTTCCATACACCTAGATGACCATGCAGATAGGTGTTAATTATCACTATCCATCTCTGTTGTGCAATTTTTTAATCAGTATAGCGATGCTTTCTGATGAGCGCTGTGAGGAAGCTAATTCGATGCCCTTGTTTCATCATTCCTATTGTTGTTCTGCACATTACATTCCCATTATATTTCTTTGTTCATCACCGCTTTCTCTGGAATGTGTCCGTTACATCTAAATAACGCCTTCATAAAATGTGGTTTCAGCTGGTTCTGTATATTGCAATCCTTATTAAACTATTGTCACCTAGTATTGCTAACCGACCGTATTTGTCCGTATTTTTACGGAAAACGAAGTTTCGTCCGCAGTACGGATTTCAATCGAATTATCCCGCAAAAGCGAAAAAAATACGGTGTCTTCGAAAGCAGAGAAAAATGGTGCAGAAGACACCCATCCATGATCACGTGTGTACTATCAAAAATGGTGCAGAAGACGCCCATGCACGATCACGTGTGTACTATCAAAAATGGTGCAGAAGACGCCCATCCACGATCACGTGTGTACTATCAAAAATGGTGCAGAAGACGCCCATGCACGATCACGTGTGTACTATCGATCAATCCGAAATCTGATGATGCGGCAGAGTGCATGTAGCCTGCAGTGTGCTGTAAATGTGCATGTACTACGGTACACCGGTACCGACCTGCCGCAGTGACACGTGTGTTCAATCCTGAATGGGTCAACAGTACATGCTGCGCAAACTGCCCTGACTGCCGTCCTTTTGGTGTGACTCGTGCCGCAGTGCGCCATTTTCAGAGCTTGCACAAGTAGAGTGCAAGAGCTCGCAGGTCGCTCACTTTTCGATCGAGCAGTTTGTTTCGTGTTAAATGCCAGTCTTGGCCAGATCAACTAAGTGTACAAGCTGTGTGGACAGGAAATGGCAGGCATTTCAGTTATGACAGTGTGACAGTTTGTAGTCGTAAGCATGGATTCTGACGAGGAACCTAGGCGAGAAGCTGGTCCTCTTGGATTGAAGAAAAGGCCGAAAAAAGCTGCCGCTTGCTTCAAAGAGTCGTGGTCGCTACCGCCACGAGTAACGAAGACCAAGAGGGGAATTCACTTCGCTTTCTGCAAGCACTGCAACAGTGATTTCAGCGTTGGACACGGAGGTTTCAACGATATCATCAGTGGTGTATGAAACTCAACAACAGAATGGCCCTTGAGGAGAGGAAGTTAGCCTTAATCCTGGACAACTTTGCCGCTGGTCATTTGGAGTTGAGTATGAAGCCAGCAAAAAGACGTTGATAACTGGATAGCCTCATTTCTCTTTGCTGTTCAGTTGGCTCCATACAGGATGACAGTGTCTGCTTTAGAATTTCAAAGCAACCGGGCACACGGGTACCTGGAACAGCCCTTGCAACCGGGTCAGAGCTAGGTATGTTCAAGTGCAGCAAACATTGCACATGGACATCGGGGGAGTCGAAAATATATTTACTACTCATTTGTACAGAGGTCCAAAAAGTACTCTGGACATGTCAAGTATACTCCCAACCGGGCCACAAGTGACCCGGTGTTCTTTTTATCAAATAGGTTCAAATATCCCCCCCCCAACTGGGCCGTTGACTCGGCTGACCCAGCTCTGGAGTAGACACTGCATTGTTAGTTGTGTCCGCATGACGGCAGCAGATTCCAGTGGGCGAATTACATTTTAAACTGGAATATTTGGGAGCAGCAATGACTATCATTCATTCAAAACGAATAGAGCAGTTGGTGCATTGAGTCCAGCGGTGACGACTTCCTGAAAGTATCATCCTATATTTATCAGTTTTCATGGCAATCTCGATCACCAAACAGCTAACTGTGCATGTTCCAATACAATAGGTGACACGTTTCTCTTTGTCTCCGCCGCTAACGTCACACAACAATCACCAAAATGATAATCAGAATTACCTTGGTGTGTTCGGTTCAGATCTGATAGAGCGGTCTTCCGGAATTCTTCACGATTTGGCCTCCTCTCACTTGATGTGAAAGGACGGCGTAAGGAGTTATCTGTTTGGAATAGGATCTCTACCCTTGGTGAGTGAAACGAGGCGCTTGCTTAATGTGCAGTTGAAGTTTCTAGATGCGCAGAAAGACATCACAAGGAAATGCACGTGTATGAGTATAGTGGGAGAAAGAAATACTTCAGTACGCTGCAGTACAGGTGTGCAAAGTTGAACTCGGATGGTTAGCCCATTTAATTACGGTAAAAAAAGAAGAAGTCAGGTCGCTGAATGTCTCAGTACTCCTTGTCAGTTTTGTGCCATTTTGTCACACTCGCTGACTGTATATGATCTGGTTACGTTGGTGGACAGTTAGTCATAACTCGTAACATTTTGTCCTTCTCCTTTTTTACAATACAGGTGAAATTAACGTTATGGCCCAAACATGCACACAGTGTACAGTGCCTGTATTACAGAGGTTACCATACTGTAGAGCAGGAAATTTTCGGACGGAGATATTTTCGGACAAAGCCGAATTTCGACCTTTTGTATGGATTTTATTTTCGCACAGTGGTGTATGCAAAAAATGCACGTGCTTGCATGTGGTACGCATGTATAGTGTAGGTAACTTCACAGGAACAAATTTTATTAGTGCAATTAAGAGTATAATAGATGCAGACATGGCCAGACAACAACGAGTTCATGGACTTTTTAAGGATTTTTATGTTATTCAAAATTGATATTCGTGTTCCGCTCATCAGTGAATAGTATCGGAACTGAGGGTACTGTGTACAAAAAAGAACATTTTATAACAGCATGACTAAAAGTGTGAACAAAAAAGGAAATTTGCTTTTATGTAATGCTGTAGCACTTCCTTTTTTGTTCACACTTTTAATCATGCTGTTATAAAATGTTCTTTTTTGTACACAGTACCCTCAGTTCCGATACTATTCACTGACGAGCGGAACACGAAAATCGATTTTGAATAACATAAAAATCCTTAAAAAGTCCATGAACTCGTTGTTGTCTGGCCATGTCTGCATCTATTATACTCTTAATTGCACTAATAAAATTGCTTTCTCCACGCCGACTCTTTGAACAAATTTCAGTACGAAATTTATGTTAGTGCAAAAGAGATCGTGTACGAAATCGTATGAAAATAAATTCCGTCCGAAAATTTCCTGCTATACAGTACACATTATTTCTGACGTGACGCAAAAGTTCAGCTCGCGTTATTTGGCTCGCATGTCGAAAATCAACGCGAATGACCTGCAGCCGACGTCGAAATTTGGAGTTTTACGCCAAATTTGACGTGAAATTGCACGTCACGTCGGAAATAACGTGCATCTTAACCTCTGTATTGAGGAAATTCAATGATCCAACATTTAGCTCCAGTACATATGAAGCCCACACCGACAATGTTTCCAACTGGTAGCACTGCACTGCTAGTTTACTGAAGGTGTGCCATCCCTGCCCTCAGTGACCGGACCCGGGAGTCACTGATAGTGGACGTCACTGGATAGAAGTCTGGTCATCTTCACAAGCCCAGCATTACCCAGGAGCCAATCAGCATATGCATTTAGATAGCCTAGTCTGAGTTCAATCCACACGATCAACAGACAAAAGAGAGATTCCGCACTACGTTAAGTTGAGCAACGTTATGTTAGTGAGCGGGAATAACCCGTGAATTCGCGAGTTTGCTCTCCACTTACGAAAAGTTGTCTATGTAGAGTACGTAGATAGGGCTCTGATATTGTGGGTGCTACGTTAGAAGATTGGGGTGCAAATTTATGACTCCCTCCCCAGGTCGATCCAGTTGTACACTGCCCCGTTTGGAGGTGCCAAGGGCAGCCATGTGATTTGAACACTTCGTTTGGCGGAACACAGATCCGCATGCAGTTTACGCAAGACTTTCCGTAGATCGACTATGTTTTTTTTACTAACGTAATCACATTATGCAGAACCTCTCTAATGACTCGTCAATTTCACGTTGTCGGTACCGTGAAAGTCCGTAAATAAGTACCTGCCCGAAAGAAATACCCCCTTCATTCTTTTGGCTCTGTCTGTTGAAGTCAAGTCAAGCCCGATAAACATACTGCCCGAAATAAGTACCGGTACGGTGCGCACATGCAGCACGTAGCATGTACATCGACATGAAAATGACTTCTCCACTACACACAAGTCAGGTCCGAAAGTTAGTTCGTGCCCGAAAGTCAGTACCCGCCCGAAAGTTAGTACGGGTGTGGTCACTAAATTCGAAAGTAAATACGTACGTATTTACGGACTTTTACGGTAGTCGATACAAGTATGAGCTCATGGCAAGAAGACTGAGAGAAAGGCAGAGGGAGAGCCTCGTTCACAGCAAACTCAGATGCACGGCGTGATTTTATGTGGCGGTGCCATCTTTTGCCTGAGGACGATTTCTCCAGCCAATATGCTATTCATAGTCAACTGGGAATTCTTGGCCAGGCAGAAGGGATACATGGATGAGGGGAATAAGGCTTGTGGCTCTTGTGCCAGCCGCTATGGGACTTCCCCTCACCCCACCGCAAGACCGCTGGGTTATTCCAGCATAAAAAAACTTTTCAATAGTGTATCTCCCATGATGCGAATGTCTTCATCCTTTTCTCTTACAAGTTCACTTCCCCATCATTGCAGCTCGGTATTGTGTGCTATCTACCATATTTCCCCGAATATAATTGGCACCTTTTTACACTACACAACAGGGAAAAGATGGGGGGATGTGACTTACAATCGACCATGACTTTCTACTGAAGTGAATAATATCGAAACGATAATGATAATATGGACCTGGTAAATGGGTGCGACTTTCAATCGAGTGCGACGTACGAGCAGGGAACTGCGGTATATGATTACTTATCCCTCACTCCATATACACCCACAGTCCTAGGCATGCCCTTCCTTAGTGGTGTATATATTATCTCCATATACACCATTAAAGGAAATTGGCAGTAGTTGTCGGCTAGGAGCAAGCCATTAGGAGGCCACACACCGTGAATATGGAGAGGTATAAATATGTCCTGGCGGTGACAGTCAATTTTTTCTTCAGACTTTTCCCGTTTCTGTCTTTCCCTAAAACTACTCAAGGTATAAATATAATATTATTATTATAACAAAGGGACCAAGTGTATATCGAGATATATACACCAGTTATAAAAACCTCAGCTTCGCCTCGGTTTTCATACTGGTGTATATATCTCGATATACACTTGGTCCCTTGTTATAATCTATACATAATGCGGGGCTCAGGGATACAGAGAATCAGTACAGTGTATGTGTGTGGGGTGGGCAGGGGGGGGGGGGGGGGGAGGGGGAGGCAGATCGTCAATACAGTTATGAAATGTCTTCAACCAATTTGCATGTTACTGAGACATATACACGGAAAGACAATACCGTAAAATCCCGCCGGAGCGCCCCGTCTCTCCCATCCGCCCTCCCTGACTTCTTGCTAGGGAAGTGATTGATTGTATCCTCGTATGACTCTGTGATGCCGTACTGCAAGCGCGTGCTTGACCCCTTGGAAATGTACACAACAGTGCCCACCCTCTTGACCAGGGATCGCACAAAACCTGAGTTTTGACGGGTCTGACCGACTCCTGGCTCTTGACCGTTGGTCGGTGTACGAGATGCACGAATAGTTTTCGTAGGGTGAGTACTTTTTCATGTAGTACTGAATGCGGCAAGTAGGACTCGCCCATCCGCCCCTCCCCACCTGAACCTACTCGAAGCGTCGAGGAGGTAGGGGCGGTCTGGTGGGATTTTACGGTAATAGCAGAACAAGTTGGAGGTTTTCCGATTCTTAGAATAGTACCATAATCATGCATCTGTACGTTGTCTACACCAATCTAGCAGAACAAATCATAGATTTTCTGAACCAAGCGTTTGAACGCAACGTAGGTCAGCCACCAAACTTCATTTGTCAGGCAGTGGTAGTTTTCGTGAGTTGTACATTGATGATGTATTTTCTGCTTTGGTTCGTGGTAGATCTACGTTGCACTGCTGGGTTTTTTTGTATACTCAAAAGTTGTCTTAAGAAGGGAAATCTGCTATCCCTTCAGTTGTTTGGCATTAATCCCCGTGTTAGCGCTAAGAATGATGACTTGTTTCTCTTTCATACGTTCGATGTGTTAGTGCTATTTTTCATATTCGTGCTGTATTTGACCCACAGCGTGCAATGGTTGCGCTAAACCGTTCACACTCACTTGCGGTGTGATGTTTTTTATGTCCTGCAATTATTTCACGCAGAAAGTTGTGGACATCACATCACGCAACTGCATTATGAAGAAAGGGGGTTGTCAACCGACAACCGCTCTATTCAGTTGCTATTCACAATCTGCGCATGCACTGCATTGAAAATTCTTTATTGTGGTATTGAAAACATTAATGACGTTTCGGACCAGTCACTCATCGTCAGAACAAGATCCAAGGGGCGAACTTGGCCTTCTTATAGCGAAAGCAAGCAAGAGCGTATGTATGTCCATGTACAGAAAAGACACAAAACACACAATGGCCGTATGATCAAACTCACAATAAAGAATTTTAAATGCAGCGCATGGGCAGCTTGCGAATAGCAACTGAATAGAGCGGTTATCACTTGCCAAACCCCCTTTTCTTCGATTCTTTTGCCTATGAAATTGGTCATTTCGCTTTATTCCCTGTATGAGCCCATGTTGAGAAGGAAACGAACACATTTGGTTTAGAAAGTTTATGATTTGTTCTTCTAGACCGGTGAGGACAATGGATAGATACAGGACTATTGTACTATTCTAGGACAATAATAGCTCCGCATTTCCTGACAGGAGCTGAACTAGAGCGTTCCAACGCAAGTAGACGACAAAATCAGCACTAAAGGAAACTGCAATCACCAAAGAAGCGTTTTCCGGGGTGGTCATAAACTGGCTCTTCAGCAACACCGTCATCTTGCTCTGTGCATGGTATTTGTCATGCCTATGCCACACGGTAGAGTGCCAAGCGCTGAAATCTACTGTGCGAATGCATGCTCACTAGGCTCTTCGAGACATGGCAACACTGAGGCCATGTGGGAATGTAACCAGCTGACCAGCTATTGGCAAGTCTGGTATCTTTGTCCGCGTGGTAAACACAACCTGTATGTGGCCTATTGTAGGTTCTTTTGAACAGCTTTTTGGGCTCGTTTTGCCACCATGACAATTTGTTCTACCATGGATTGGAGTCAAATGTGTACTCGTATGTATTACAGGATATTAGCCTTTGTGATGAACGTCGGCTTATGCTTCAGGGTAACTGACTGACTTGACCAATAGGGAACAAAACACCGTGATTGTGTTGCTCTTGATCCATGAAGTGTCGCTAATACGTTTTTGGTCACGAGTCATGACTGCACATGCAACATTCGCATGTCTACTCCTTGGTTGCAAGGCCAGCACCATACATGTCCAGGGTAGTAATAGTATGTAGTAGTAGGGTGAAGTTCGAAAAGACTTAAATAGACGACCATAACATTATGTCCAAATTCAATAATGGGAGTAGTAAGTCTTGGCACTACTCCCATTATTGGATTTGGAAAAGAGAACATCCGAAGGCAACAATCTATTACTTTTCAGATGCATCTATGATAAATGTTTCTTATTGTGAAGTGTAGACGGGGGAGTATTTCAAAAGGGTTTTTTTAGTACTCCCTGTTGTAGACAATACATCTGTTATATTCGCTTTCATGTTATTGGGTTCTATGCCCGTTTGAATTTGCGAATCAAAATAAATACAAACAAACAAACAAACAAGTGGCAATAGCAGCCAAACGGAGAGGGACGATGAACAAGCACACGAGCCGAAGTCGAAACAGTGTTCTCACCTGTGTGGTTGTTGTCGGATCGATGTTGATGTGCTGTGCTGTGCTGGCCGAGTAACGAAAAGTTACTTTCTTCAACGAATTTCTGGCTTTGGGGGTGACGATGGTCGTCGTCGTCGTGCGTGTATCTGCAAACGGGAATTACTGGAACTGAACAGCGACCGAGCTCGCGAAGGCCGCCGCCGCGCTTGCTCACTGTACGGGAATCCCACAGCCATACCTCGTACGCACATCCCGTAGATCCCGTAAGCCGTATGAGATGAAGTACGGAAATACTTTTTTCATGATAAATAAATACAGTATACTAGTAATCAATCAGTAAAATCCAAAGAAACCGCTAGAAGCAGTACGGAAATACTTGACGGATGACAACAGGCGATACCGATGTACAGCTGTTCAAGAAGAACGGGTCAGTTATATTCTCGCTTGAGCGCAGTGCAGGCTTTCTGTTCACCAAACTACGGCCCGGGTGTGCAGGTTTTCGTTGCTGCGTCCAGAAGAACGAGAGCCTGGAGTGCACAAAGGTGTTCCGCCATCACCGCGTGTTTCGTCATGACTGCCTGCCTAGCCTCTGGAGGGTATCCTACGGGTAAGTGTACGGGATACGACGGACGGGATTGCATACAGAATGCTCCACGCCCGGAAGCTCCAGACTTGGCCCGAGCCAAACGACCACTACATGCAACGACTACGTGTAGAGTAATTCTTTGTTGCCATCTTCACTACTACATTGTACTACTACCGGTACTTGCTTTCGTGGAGTGTGGCTGGTGAACTGTTCGTGCTGTAATTATCTGCAAGCGTCGTGTGGTCTCGTCGGCCGGTCAAATGAAAAACCTATCACTACGTGTACAGTGTAGCTACTAACTTCCAGCTGAACAGGAGTCGGAAAATGCAACAGCGATACTTTAGCAAACTAATACTTAGTTCTTGTTGCTCGTAATGCAACTCCAAGCACTGGACATTTTCTTGCAACATCACCACTCATGCCTGAGTCACGGGTGCCTGGCACAGTGGCAGTGATAACATCCTATGTCGAATGGCTACAGGTCACGACAAGGAAAAGGAGATGAAGTAGGGCTAGGTCCCCTACTTCCAAACAGACGTAACAATGGAACACACTTTTCTGAGCGGGAGCGAACGCAGTAAGAGAAAGATTCATACCCTCCTCAGCATATTCTGCTTGGGACCGTAGTTAGGCTTCGCAATGGCGGCAACACGGCTAGCTATAGCTAAGCTTGGATAGCGACGAAGTGCAAAAAGTGTGTTACATGTATTGTTACACACAGTGTCATTGTGATAGCAATGTAGCTCGGGCTGCAACATGGGACAGTCAGCACAAGAGTACATAACCCGGCCGTCGGCCGGTGCACTCTTGCTGATACCAACGGTCTGGTGGGAAAGGTGTGAAGACGAAGAGAAACACTGTACTGTACTATCTTGCTCTACATGATTGCAGAATCTTGATTGCAGTCTGCAATATTAATTTGTAGTCTGGTGCATTCAGACATGCATATGATAGTGTCAGAAGTAAGTTAGTTCACGAAACCCCTCACACTCACAAGTAGTTGACAACTTCAGATCCAAAACACGATCACGGTGAAAACTTGGTTCACACTACCGCAGGTCGTTTTTTCGGTCGATGCTCCCACACACAGCAAGGGGCAAGAAATCGGCCGCCTGTGTTGGACGAGTAGTAGGACAACCTGTTCACAGACAACGGCAAACGATTTCGCTTGTCGTCTTGTCCCTGCACACGTAGATCTACACATGAACACCTAGACCGATACGCGTAGACCAGGGAGGTATAATACGACTCCCTGGCGTAGACCATGCATGGTACCATGGTGCTACATATTGTATTGCTATTACTCATGCAGTCATGGTACAGTCTGTATCGGCTATAGCGTACCCTTTTGATTTCCGTGATTTTATCACTATAACCGATGCATCACTATATGCGATACGATCGATTTTTTTCGAGCGACACATGAAAGGCAAGGAAATACTTCCAGCATGGCGTTTTGACAAATGAGCATGCTGCATAGTTGACAGTGCCCGCATTTCCATAAAAAAATTCTGTTATGTACATGTACATGTGTCACTATCAAAATAAGCAACGTGAAGAAAGTAAAAAAATAGGGCCTTTGATATTATTGCAACATGTATTTTAAAGTTATCACTATAGCCGATTATAATGTAGTGTGTTATGCATGTTTTGATTCTATGTTGCCATCATAATATCCGATATATCATTACATCCGATAATATTGGTTATAGTGATATTTGTACTGGATAAAATACGTTTTGCTTTTGATATTTCTTACCAATATCACTGTAGCCGATATATTCTTATATCCGGTCACTCTATAGCCGATACAGACTGTACTTTGTAGTGCACGGTAGACGCTAGAGCAAAATGACATTTTTTACTCGAGCTACATTGCCAAAGGCGTGAAAAGGGCTAGCGTCTACTGCAAGTAGTAAAGCTGGTATGCATGGTAGACAACATGAATCATGTACAATGTAGTTCCTCCACCAGCTGATTGATCATCGCATCTTCACCCTCACTTACTTACGGAATTCCACCACAAAGCTCAGTCCCAAACAGGTCGATTGGGCACAGCATAGATCTACACGTACATGATTGTAGCATTGTAGGTAGATCTATCGAAGTACACATGTGATTATAAGCAGTTTGTCGCACATTCGACGCTCAAAATTATACTTTTCTGCTCCCGGGCCCGATCCCACGTCCAAGCATTCGCCTGTTTTCTGCTCGACCCGACAAAAACCTTGATTCTCCTCGAAATTCTGCCTGCATATGCGGCAGATCCCTAATAGTAATACTACGTTAACGCCGAGACCATAGGTCGGTGTTGTGGGCTTGCCTCACCAGCAGTCCAGCACAGGCTTGGTTTGCAGTCCCTACTATTTAGAAGATAGGCTTTTTGAGTTTTGGTTGTGTGCGAGCGCGCATTCGTAAAAAAACTGCTTCAAAAAATGTGACAGTTTAGCCGCTGGGAAAGTCCGATCCTCGCTGCAGGACGCAGGTGAGACATTTCACAACGCGTTGTCAGATTTGACTGGGACACTGAGCACAACGTGCCATCATAACGACATAAGACTCATGGTTTAGGTGAAGCAACACTTATCCGGTAGGTCTACACCCTTCATGCTTCATGTGTTTGAGCTGAGAAACTTCATGTAGGGCATGTCATTCAGTGTGCTACTCAATGGCAAACTGTTCAAACCTCTTGACATCCACTTGACATCCACCTGTCTACGACTCGTTGTCTCCAAAGTCCAGACTACAGGACAGTTTCGCCCATGCCATGGCCAGATCGTCACTCACCGGTGACCGTGACAGGATGCTACTTCTTTACTAGAAGTAGAATTACTAGAAAGGGCCTTGTATCCAGCTCCAGTTGCGCGTGCAGTTCAAACGTTGTCTGTTGTGATGGGAACCATTTGAAACACTGACTTTTCACGTCCGGTAGCAGAGACACGTCGTGGGTCTGCCCCTGGACTGTTGGGGCTAGTACTTAGTAGTCTGATGCGCAATGCCATGATTGGCCTTGTGGACTATGTACCAGATGTACCACGACGTGTATTTAGTAGGCCTACACACGAGTCATGACTGTCTGTAGACTGTAGTGCAGACCATGGACATGGTAGACTAGTAAGTAGTATAGTATAGTGTAGTGTAGTGGATCCACACAAGACGTCTGTCTGCATGTCTGTCCAGTGACTGTGTCCTGTCCGTGATTCAGGCCCACCGCGGTATTCGAACTCGCATGCACTCACACTTGAAGTCTACAGTCGCATAGTAGATATTATTACTAGCAAACATTCACCATAACGTTTGTGGATAGATCTACTACAGTAAACTTGACTCCTGACTTGAGAAACGCTTGTTCGATCGGCTGGTGAGTTCCTTTTTGCATTTCCACAACCTCCTCGCCGGATCTACCGTGGGGTTGTTGCTCAGCACGCAACTGAGTCTTGAGACGGCGTGTGCGTGCTATAAGGTTAGTTGGAAGGGGTGATTCCTGGATAATCCAAGACTCGTGTAGCGTGTCCGCAGGCGGTTACATCGCGCTTCATTTCTCGCAACATTTGTCTCGTCGAGTGGTGGACCTGCGGGCCGCACAATCGTAGTACTTGGAATTATCAGCGACACGTTCCTTCAGTCAAGGTTCGCGGCTCGTGAGGGACGCACCTAGTTTCCAGCGCCTTGGCTAGATAACAATCTTCCTGAGCGACCCCGGAAAAGAAGGTATAAAGAGTCTGCTGTTGCAGCGAAGATAGCCAGATCAGAAAATTCCTCTGCACAATGACCGGGATGAATGCTTTCTGGTGAAAACTGCTTGCGTTTCATCAACTGCCACCGTCATGTCTTCTTCGAGCAAAGAGGACAGTAGCGAAGCGGCCCAGGCGAGCAACGCGGGTGCCGAGTTCCTTGCCTTGGTGAAATGTGGAGATGAGCATGCAGTGACTGCGGAGCTCGGCAAACATGGCACGAAGCTGTTCGACATGGCCGACAAGGTACGTAGGGTGACAGTCACACAGCGGGAGTGCGTGAATGATGATGCTCTGCGAATGAATGATATTGCCAAGTACAGTCCTTCTCAATGAAATCCAGTCGCAGCGCTCAAGTAAGTTTGCGCCTTGCATCATTTCGCAGGCCAGTGTTCACAGGTCTAGGGCTGCGCAACGCCCGGCGCGTACTTGAGTGACGCGACTGGATTTCATTGAGCACCACTGTACTATTTTCATGTGGGTGCCTAAGTCGTCCGATGTACGACGGGACGTGCAGTTAGAGACCAAAGAAAATCTTCATCCGTTGCTTGGATAGGGACTCTGGGAGATTGGTGCAGATTGCAAAAAAAAAAAAACTCCAACAGCGTTTGATCTACATTCACAGAGGCTGCTTCATCTCCTTAAGGTGGCATGCGGAAACCATGAAGAGACTCTTACAGTAGTTCCCTGTTGCCATGGACCAGTTCTCCCCAAAAGGTGGGAATGAACGGGTTGGCTTACACCTGAGATACATAGCATCCGGGGACCGGACCGCATGGGACCATAGTACCCCAAGCGTCCGGGTAGTCTGCTTTGGACCATAGTACCTCAAGCGTCCGGGGAGACCGCATTGGACCATAGTACCCCAAGTGTCCGGAGAGACCGCATTGGACCACAGTACCCCAGGCGCCTGGGGAGACCGCATTGGAACACAGTACCCCAAGCGTCCGGGGAGACCGCATTGGACCATAGTACCCCAAGTGTCCAGGGAGACGACATGGGCATGATGGGACCATAGTACCCCAAGCGGTGTGCATTTCAACCGTGTGGGTTGGGACGTTCTACATGCCCCTGGTCTTTGCAACTCGCAATGATGATGGCGGCCTTGACTTGTTGACCCCATATGCTGGATGCCTGTGGTACATCTGAGCCAGCGGTGTGTGACATTCAGCTGGGGGCAGCGTGCCTGCGCAATAGCAGAGCCAGTGCGTGAGGTTCAGCAATGCTCGCAAGCACAATAGCTGACTACGTTACCCAATGCTGTAGACAGCAAGCTGTTTCGGCCACAAAAGCCTCATGATCAGTACAGCGACGAGCTAAATAGGCCGAGCTACCAGCCATGGTGCAAAGGAGGCACCACAGACATAAAAAGATAGCGCGTCGCTCTAGAGCCGGAGTGCTCAAACTACGAAAACCCGACTAAGTTATATCGGCTGAAACGTAGCCTAACAGCACCGACCTGCAGCCCTGGCTAGGGAGTACTGTACAATATGGTTATGTCTGTGATCCCCCGTCCAGACTCCAACCAGAGAGCCCTGCACATCTCATCATGTGTGGGGCTCCCTCGTTCGGAATCACACTGGCTCTGCTGCAGTGTTTGCACAGGCAGCCAGGCACCAGGTGTCAGTCCCGCCATACACGGCCTCTGATTTATCACCGTGCATGCACCTAAATGTCGAGACCAGTTGGTCGACGGAGCGCCTGGCCCCCACCACCATGGCTGCTGCATGCTCCCATTGCGTGCACCACATGGCTTTTAGTGGTAAAAATACTCGTACTGGTGTCTGCACACACACTGGCCGTAGTACAGGCAGTCAGCATCCATTCAAACCTCAGGCATGCATCACCCATCTGGAACTCACACACTGGCTCTGCTGTAGTACAGGCACCCAGCATCCATTCGCACCGCTAACATTAGCAGCGGCCATCTGAAGCGCACACACTGGCTCTCCTGCCCCTGATGTAGTGCACCCATCAATAACACGAGCACCTGGAGCTCATGCACTGGCTCTGGCTCTGCTGTGCACAATACAGGCATCCAGCGCCCACCCAGAGCTTACACTAGCTCTGCTTATTCAGAGCACAGGATGCAGCTATATTCAGACCCTTATCTGATGAATTAACTATCGCGCCCAGAGCCTCCTAGGACTCCCACCTCCCACATAGTCACCTACAAAAAGTGGCCCGATATGCATTTCTGTAGCTCTATTGTAGATTTTTCCAGATGATTGCGCAGTGCATGAAACTCTGAGTTCTGAATGAATTCTTGGTAGATTTATTGTTCCACTGTAGTGGTATTGCATGTTTGTGTGTGTGTGTATGTGTGTGTGTGTGTGTGCGTGTGTGTGTGTGTGCGTGCACGTGTGTGTGTGTGTGAGTGTGTGTGTGTGTGTGCGTGCGTGCGTGTGTGTGTGTGTGTGTGTGCATGTGCGTGTGTGCGTGTGCGTGTGCGTGTGTATGTGTGTGTGTGTGCGTGCGTGAGTGCGTGCGTGCGTGTGTGTGTGTGTGTGTGTGTGTGTGTGTGTGTGTGTGTGTGTGTGTGTGTGTGTGTGTGTGTGTGTGTGTGTGTGTGTGTGTGTGTGTGTGTGCATGTGTGTGTGTGTGTGTGCGTGTGTGTGCGTGTGTGTGTGTGTGTGCGTGTGTGTGTGTGTGCGTGTACATGTGTGTGTTTGTGTGTGTGTATGTGTATGTTGACATGTACAGAATGGCCGTAGCTGTGTACATATAGCAGCTCGGGAAGGTCATATTCGTCTGGTGGAGATCATGACATGGAATCATTATGACCTCAACACGCCATCTAAGGTATGCAGCTACAGACACTGCCATCCGACAATCCTTCGTTTTACCACATGCACTGAATATGATAATGTTGTTCAGTTGTTGTGAAGCCTGATAACCTTTTCGTGCTGCAGAAAGTAGGCATACGTACAATGGCACATTATAATGATGAGATCTGTAACTCCAGTATTTGTATGCAGTCACTTCCTTTTGGCGGTCCACTGTTTACCTAGCGCAAAAGCACGTAATACGGCCCTGGGCGAAAATATTAGTGAAGGTCCAGGAAATGGGCGTCAATTTGGGCCCAGGCGCTAATGTGGGCCCGGGTGTTATTTCGGATAAGTGAGATCAGACTGATTTTCACATCATGCCATGCTACTGCATGTACAAATCAGTGCACTGTGCACCAAGTTATACTACCGTATGGTACATATACATGCAGCTGTGCATCCTCTACACTGTGTAATGGACCTGTGCTTTCGGCCATGGGAGTTTACACGGAGTGGGCTAGAAATCAGGACAAGAGTGGTGACACTGGGCACCTGGGTGTGTACACGGCTAGTGGACGATATACTGGGTGGGTGTTAATGCGGGCTTTTATGGTACTTGCCACAACTCATTATATACCATACATGTACATGTCCATTGATGTGTGTGTGTGTGTGTGTGTGTGTGTGTGTGTGTGTGTGTGTTTGTGTGTGTCTGTGTCTGTGTGTGTGCACGCGTGTGTGTGTGGGTGTGTGCTTACATGCGTTTGTGACATGATGTGTATGTGCATGTGTTCCTACACTGCGACTGTACTGATGGCGTATGCCGGACAGGTGACGGGCCAGGCTGCTGTACATGAGGCTGTCTGCGGTGGACAAGTACGCATGCTACACTTTCTGCTAGCCATGGGTGCCGATGCTCAGCAAGGTGATAAGGTAAGACCAAAGGTAGATAAGGGTAGATAAGCAAGAGTGTGCAACTCGCGGATGGGTTGGTCCACGGCGGAATTTTTTGTTGACGTAATATTTTCTACCACGCACACGCTGCGAGTCTTTTGGGAAGGTTTGCCTCGTGCACTTGGCCGGGCTTTACATTACAAGGTCGGCGCCGAGCGTGTGCTCTCACACTGCTCTGCGGGCGAAATGCGCATGCTCTGTAACAAAAGTGACGTCAACAATATTTTCCGCCGTGAGCCGGGGTATCTGCAGATTGTGCAGGAGAGATGCGGAGTTGCACACTCTTGTTTATCTACTCTTGGTAAGAGCAAGAGTACAGAACCAAGAGTGTGCAACTCGACGAGCCCTCAGCCCACGGCGGAACTTTTTTTTTATGACATCAGTCTTTGGCGGCGGTTTGGCTCACTGATGCCATCATGCGTAGCCAGAGATCAAAGTACCAATAATTTGTACATTACAGCTACGGTAGTCGAAGCAGAAAAACGGACGATAGATCGATGTGTCTTGAACCTGATGCACTCCCACCGTATCTACAAAAACAAGCGCAGGAAAGCATACCCACTTCATCATGCTTCTGCCAAAGAATGACGCAATAAAAACATTCCGCGGTGGGTGAACCCATCGCAGCTCAAGGTAGGAGTTGCACACTCTTTGTTATGTACTGTTGGTAAGAGGGTTAGGGTATGATGCTGATGATAAATGAGCACAGCATTGCTATAACCATGGGCAGCAGGCCTGGAGTCAGCTCCTGAGGAGCGGTGCGGCCCACAGATTGGCTACAGTATCGATAATCTCCCATGCCCAAATGCCAGTCCGATAGCAGGATACATCTCTAGTTCCACCCGGCATCATATCTGGGTTATAATATGCTGATGATGGGTGAGCACAGCATTGCTACTTTGCTCTAACCACGGGCGGTGGAACCAGTCCGGTTGGTTAGGCTGGGACATGGCCAGACCAACTCTTTGGCCACCGACGGGTGTTACCTGCTGAGGGGTGGTACGGCGGCACTCTCGCAGTACTTTAAGTTGGTACAAATAGGTGTTCAGCGAATGCTCACATGTA